CCCCAGCACACTTCCGGTCCTGGCGGCCCCTGACGACCCCCCTTCTCCGTCCTGCTCCCTCCGCTCTATCCCGTTGCCTCTAGCTCCAACCTGAGCTTGCTGGGAAGTGGCCTCTGGCAGCCCAAGACCCTAGGAAGGGGAAGAAGGGGCATGGAGCATTCCCCCATGTGCCACCAGGTGGCGCCATTGGCACAGGACAACCCGGGGCTGTCCCCGGTGGCGGGTCGGGACAGGGGTGGTGCCATTAGCACAAGACCTTCAAGGCTGCGGTGCCTGCCACCTGAGGACCTGCAATGATTAACCTCCTAGTCGGTGCTTATGTCTCCCAGGGACGCAGTTGTTCCAAGGGTCTGAGCCTAACAAGGCCTTGGCACATGGTGAACGTGGAACAAGCGAAAAATGATGCCATCTTGGTTTTTCATTCCCCCCCCCCCGATCTTCAGGACTGTTTTCAGCATGGCAGGGGCTGAAGAGGGGCCATTACCTCCTTGCTGCCTTCCCCCAACAGAATTAGCGGGGAGGGTCTTGTCTAACTGTGGGCATGTGTCCATTAGGAAAACCCCAGTCTCTGGTCCCAGGTACGCCTCTGATCCCCTCTGTGACCTTGAGCAGGCCATTTACGTGATTTTTCTCCGTCACTAAGTCTGTAAGATGAGAGTTATAATACCAGCCCTGCTGGGAGAATCAAAGCGAATTGCAGGAGAACATAATGATTGAAAGCACAATCATGGGAGCTCATCTCCCGGCTGCCTCCTCGCTGTGTGGCCTTGGGCAAGTGGCTTACACTCTCTGATCTTCAGTTTCTTCACCTGTAAAATAGGGGCCCTAATGATACCTACCCACATGAGGTTTCTGTGAGGACTGAAGTCAATACGTGGAAAACCTTTAGAACCACGTCTGGCGTGAAACAAATACTTAACAAACAGGCAGAAATACTGGCTTGAACCGAGAAGGCACTTTGGAAATGGGCCCTGTGAACCCTCCATCCAGGGCGGGAATCTCCTAGCAGCGTGCAGGGACAATGACCTCCAGGTGGGTGTGCACGCGTCCAGTAACAGCTCATTTTCTCCCGAGAAAGGAGGCTGGTCTCCTGTGGGCCAGCCCAGCTCACGATTAGATGGGTCCCCTCAATTGAGTCCGGGCTGGATCATGTCTCTGGCTTAGTGGTCAGGTCTACTCCTAGGAGGTTGGCACTCAGGCTGCTACATGATACAGAAAGGGGGACCCCGAAGGCACAGCTGGGTGGTGTTAGGAGAGGACCCGGAGAGTGGACGCTCTCCATCGTGGCCACCAGGCCAGCGCAGAGGGTGGTCTTGAGGGGGCTCCTCCACGGGTGGGCCTCCTGGTGCTGGAGTCTGTGGGGAGGAAGGAAATGACTTCCTGCAGCTGCTCGCTATGCACGCAGCCGGCAGAGGGAACACAGAGAAGTCGGGCAGCTCCTGAGCATGAACCTACGGAAGCAGCCTGCCCAGGGGCCTCACTGTCACTCGCTCACTCCCCTTTGCTCACTCAGGGAGGCTGGAAATCCTGCCTGGGGGTTCTGTTCTCTTCTCTAGAGGGGAATCAACTGGAGGGCAAAACGGTGGCTTATGTTCTGTGCTTGCACGGCCTGGCACACACTAAGCACTTGATAAGTGCGTGGGAACTACACAGAAAAGAAAAGAGCCACCATTGTGGTCCAGTTCGGAAAGCTGTAGTCTTCGGGGGGTCAAGGCACCTCCGGGCTGCAGGGGACTTCTGCGCTCTCCCATTTCCTCCTTCTTCAGGCCTGCCACTTCCTCCACGAAGCCCTCCTTGGTACGCCTTCGTTCCCAGTTCCCACGCCCTGAGTAAATAACCTCTTCCCCTCTACCCCCCCACCTCCCTCTTCGCTCTGTACACACTTGTGCCATTAAGGCAGGCTGGAAGAGGGGTTAGGGCCCCAGACCCTGGGGCTATCTTCAGAGTCACTCCCCCTGGATACCTTTCTCAGCTGTGTGACCTCAGGCAGATTTCATTTGAACCTCCCGGTGCCTCGCTGTTCTCATCTGTAAAATAGAATTGATCATAGTACCTACCTATGGGGCTGTGGTGAGGATTAAGTTGAATGGTAGATTAAAAGTGTCTTGAAAAGTGCTGTTTAGTGACCTGCTCCGAACCGCTATGTTATCGCTCAGTTATGCTGGGATGATTACTCCTCCCCCAAACGTGGGCTTCTCGAAGCCTGGGTCTTTCACTTCTGCATCCTCCTGCTGAGGTCAGTGCCCAGTGCAGAACAGGCGCTCAGCAAAATGTGAAGGGACGGAGGGACGGACGGAGGGACGGACACAGGGACATATGTCTGGATGAGCACAAGTGCTCCAGGGACCTCACCCGCAAACTCAGCCGCGGAGGCCTGGCCCACGGATACCCACCGGGGATGCCACCCGGGCTCGTGTCCCCTACCCTCCTGTCCCTGCTTACCCAAAGCTTCCCCTGAGTGTGAGGAGCGGGGACTGAGAGGGGAGGGAATGCCATCAGATTCAAGTCCGGCAGGTTCACTGCGCGGCGACCACGTGGGTGAGAGCAGGTGGAAAGTATTGGTGAAAATGAGGTTTCTGGATGAGCTATGGTTTTATTTCCATCCCCCGGTTCCTGAGGGCCTGACGACAGCACAGCCTGGGCCCGCCGGTTCCCTGCCCAGGGCCCCTCCCTGCCTCTCGCCAGGAGCCCCTCTGAGGCCTGTTGGGAGCCTGCTCTGTGTCGGGGTTGGGGTTGGGCACCCACCCTCATGGCAAGCTTGGGAAGAAGGCACTGTACCCCATCTTAAAATTTAAAAAAGTGTTATTGTTTATTTTTGAGAGAGAGAGAGAGAGAGAGAGACAAAGCTCGATTGGGGGAGGGGCAGAGAGAGGAGGCGACACAGAATCCGAAGCAGGCTCCAGGCTCTGAGCTGTCAGCACAGAGCCCGACGCGGGGCTCGAACCCACGAACCGTGAGATCACGACCTGAGCCGAAGTCGGACGCTTAACCGACTGAGTCACCCCTACAGCCTCAAGTGCTGTATCCCATCCTAAGCTCATTCATCCGTCCATCGTACACCAATATTTACTGAGCACGTACTAGGCGCCTGCACTGTGCCGAGCACAGAAGAGTCAGAGGTGAAGAGGTGAAGATCAAGGCCTGCACCGTCTGGGGGCCCAGGCTGCAGAGCAGCACCTGCCAGGACAGACCGGCACGGGGGCAGAGCCCGCGTCCGCGTTCCGAGGCGGCTTGGCGCTCGGCCGCCTCCCAGTGCCAAGTCGTAAAGAGACTCCTAGAGGCGCAGACCGATGCCTTTATAATGCTCCCTCCGTGCACAGAGGCATTAACATGACGTCTATCACCATGGCATCGAGGTGCTTAGACAACCTGCTCCCCCCGGAGGTCGGAAACAGCGTGAAGCAGATTATGTGTCTCCCTGTGACATATGCGATCATGTATCACCGTGATGGATCAACAGTCAATACCGCCGGGGTCCCCGCCGCCCCCCAGCCAGTAGGAAGTGGCTTGCGTTTATATGTCTTCCTCACCTGGTGGGCAGTCCCTGCTCCTGGGGGCCGCCCTCCCGGTGCCGCCGCCGGAGTCGGTGGGAAACCTCTGCCGGCTTTCATTGTTCATGTGCAAAGCCGCCGAGGGGAGAGCATTTGGAAAGAAGGACGGAAACCGGACCCCTTGTGTGCCGTCACTGGGGGCTGCATGGGGCCGGGCGGGGGTGGGGGGCAGGCTCAGCTTTCACACCGCTGGCCATTAAACGCTGGCCCCGCCTACCTGCCCTGATCTTGAGCAAGCTGCGTTGCCTCTTGGGGGGCATAGTTTTCTCTTTTGTAAAACTGGGAGCATCACATTTATCTTGAGGGTTCATGGACACCGGTGGAGAAAGGAGGTGAAAGGCTAGCAGGTGCCGAAACTCGGCCGCATTTACCCCCAGCCTCCTCTGCCAGCGGGCATGCTGGGATCCTCCCCACGGCCCCCAGCCCCTTTCCCTCTGCCTCTCCGGATATGCAGGCAGACGTCTAGCCCCCTACCTCATGCAGCTTGGCCCAGTGCCGGGCTCCTGAACGCCAAGGGTAGAGGCTCCAGCCTGCTGGGGAGAGGGGTGGGGGCAGCAAACGTTACTGTCCCGGAGGCAGTGCCCGCTGGAAGTGAGGAAAGGGGCTGTGGCTCCGGGCCAGATGGGGAAGCAATTGATTTGTCTCCTGGTGGGGGAGGGGATGAGCTCAAGCCCAGGGCCCCTTCAGCAGGGGTGCGGGAGGGGAGGGAAAGACATCTCAGGTGAGTCAGGGAGGAGGCCTCCGCTGGGCCTCTGCGCTGCTCCCACGGTGGCCCTAGCTGTGCCGATGACGGGCAGCCGGCCTTCTAGCACCATTCAGGGCTGGGACCGTGTAGTTCCTGCCCTCACCCTCGCTGCCGGCCCCTCCGCCATCATGCGCCCGCCCCACCCCGCCCCTCCCAGCCCTCTCCACCTGGAACCCGGCCCTTGGATGAGCACATCCATCAGGGGGCCCCTGGACCATCTCTGAGGGGAAGTCTGTGTGAACACAGTCATTTTAAGCGTCAGACGTGAGTGAGCAGCTAAACCAAACCCTGGAGTCACTGGCGGGAGCGAATCCTGTGTCACCAGTGTCTTCGGGTTGGGCCACCGGCTAGAAGGGGGCCGAGGAGGGGAGAAGCACACCACATGGGGTGGATTCGGAGGCCCTGTCGGGGGTGGGGGGGGAGTGTGAGCCCCAGACTCCTCACCTAGAGGCCACGCTGCCTGGGGCTGTTCCCGCGACTTGTTCAGAGAGTCCAGGGTTATTGTTTAAAATGTATACTCATTTATTTTGAGACAGACAGAGAGCAAGTGAGGGAGGGGCAGAGGCAGAGGGAGAGAGAATCCCAAGCAGGCTCCATGCTGGCAGCACAGAGCCCGACTCGGGGCTCGAGCTCATGAATCGTGAGATCATGGCCTGAGCCGAAACCAAGAGTCGGATGTTTGACTGAGCCACCCAGGCGCCCCAGGTTGTTGAGAGGAGCAGGCCCAGTGAGGCCCCGAGGAAGCAGAAGGGTGGCCAGGGTGGAGCTTTGTGGGGACGCAAAAGGGAACTGACAGCCAGCAGACCATCCCCTCCCGTGAACCAGAGAGGAAGGAGGAACGCTGACCAGGAGGCCCGGATGGAGAGGCGGCCTCCGTGGTGTCGGGCCCCGCCAGACCCGCTCTCGGGCCCCCAGCTCCTGGGTTTGCTCCTGTTTCCCTGGACCCTGCAGCTCGCAGGTACGGCCGCCTTCCTTCTTCCCACGCACTCCCTGGCTCGCACATCAGAGTGACTTTCATCTGCCCGAGCAGCTAATTCCTGGGGACCTGTCTCGGGAGATTTGCTGGTTGCGTTTGAACATTGCAGACTTCACAGGGGAAGCCTTCAGGGACCCAGGAGATGTTTAGCTAATGCCTTGCCAAGGTGGCTTTTGAAGGGGTGGGGACGGCGCTCCCCCCCCCCCCCCCCCCCCACTGCTATGCTCACAGCCTTCTTCCGACAGCCTGAACTTTGGGCCTTAAGGTGGGAGGCAGGCATGCTGAGGCCAGGGGGCGTCAGAATAGGCGTGGGGTCAGTGGGGAGGGACAGCTCACCCCTAAGGAATCTTACGGTGGAGCCACAGAGTTGACCCTGCAAAGCCGCAGAGCCACCCTCAGCGTTGTTCCCCGTGTTAGCCAGGGAGACGAGGGGCAGCCAGGGGCTGGCCACCAGGAACACTGTGCCCCGGGCCACAAAATTGTCACTGTTGCCAGAAAGGGTGGCACTCTCCACTTCCTCAAGTCCAACCAGAGGCCACAACGGGAGCTTATGCCGTTCCCAGGACCAGCGCTGTGCCCCCTTTCCTGGCCCCAGATCCCCTCAGAAGCTGGGTGGCCTGGATCCAAGCCACCCCCAGGAGTGTGCCTCACCGGGCTGTCCACACCGGGGTCCCTCTTGGATTCCCAGGCTCCCCCCGCCCCACCGTGCAGCCGAGGAATGTTTCTTCCTCTTCGTCTAGACTTTTATGCCCCCTTTCTGCTTTGTCCTCTACCTTTTTCTTTATACCGTAAACAACGGCAGCTATATCCTTATTGTCGTGAATTAGCCTCTTCGAACACTTAATCTGGGCTTTACTCTCCCACTCAGCCCCGCTCCGGCCTGCCTTGGGGTACTGTCCCTGCCAGCCACTCAAAAACAGGGAAACTGAGGCCCAGGGAGGCCAGGTAGCTTTCCTGAGGCCTAGAAGGTGAGGACAGGTCAAGGTTAGACCCGAGTCAGCCTGAAGCCCAAGCCTGGACCCTTGGCAGCGGGCTCGTGGGGCTCCTCTCCGCTTTCTTTGTAAAGAACATTCCTCATAGAAAAAATTCTCTCCCCTCCCCCCAAAAAGGCAAGAGCCGACTGTGGTACCTACTGTAGGTTTCCTGGGCTGGGCCCCTTGCGACATCATCCCCTTTAACCTTGTGCCCTTTGCACTCTCCCGTCCCCCAGAGATGGCCGGCTCGGAGATGGCCCGAGGAAACGCAGCCTGCTGGTGGGACCCACGCTTGGTCATTTCTAACTTAATTGCCTTCCAATTCCCTTCATTTCTTTTTGTGCGGCCCCTCCTCCCTTGAAGGGACCCTGCACGCCTGGGTAACAGTGGATGACACTCTGCGGGATGCTGCTGTGAGGAGCGCTTTTGTAACTGTCTTCACTGTCAACACGCAGCACCTTTCCCAAACTCTGCTCTTTCACAAGAGGTGGAAAAGCCTGGGGGTCCTCCAGCACCTCCTGCAGCAGCAGACGGCACCCCAATTCTCTTGGTCCTGCCCCTGCGGGTGCCTGGCTCTCTCTGTCACTGACGCCCAGGGTCACCGTGCCATTTTCCTGAACTGCAGAAAGAAGCAGTGTTGAGTGCGTGCGAGGGCATTCAGCCTGAGTTTCGATCTGAGCTCTGTAATTCGCCCCAGGACCCTGGGCACGTTCCTAATGTCGCTCTGCCTCCGCTGCCTCATCTGTTAAATGGGTGGGATGGTAGTACCTCCTCGCTGAGCCTAGCAGAGCCCATCGAAACTCAAGATTCAGTTGGCCAGCTGGATATCTTGGCGAGCCCTCTGGCTCCTTGGGGTCTTTCTGACTTTTCCAGTGGCCTCTAGCACAGCATCCCAACAGAATGGTGTCTCAGAACCGCTATTGTTCCCAACCCTCCTCCCATCGTGAGGCGGGACTCAAGCTTGCTCTCCTCTGGTCTTCTGAGCTCCCTGCCAATTCTGCTTTTCTCAAAGGGTCTGGCAGCCACTGTGGTCTCATGGGCAACTGCTCTCCCCCAGGGGTGGCTCGTCAGTCACCTGCCGGGGCTTTGGGGCCAGACAGGCCAGGTTCAAGTCCTACCTTCTTCTATTGACTGCTGTGTGACCTTAGGCAAGGGACTTAACCTTTCTGAGCCTCTGTGTCCTCAACAAATGTCAGTCCCCTTTCTCTTCCCGGCCTTCCCAGAACTCTGGGCTATAGTGATTTCTCAAATGTCCTTGGAGGAGGACCGCTTCTAGGCACTGGCGGTGGGGGGGGGGGACCCGGAGGTGAAGAACCCGTACCCCGCAGCCTGGCAGAAACGCTGAGATCTGCCCAGAGGACGTGACAGGACATGAGCCAAGGAGGGAGTTGCCGATGCCGGCTCGCCCCTCTCCCCCTTGGCTCTAGACTCAGGTGTCCCCGCTCGCTTTGTTGTCCTAAAGATGTTCAGGAGCCTCCTGCCTTCTTGCTCGCAGCTCCGAGCCTCTGTCAGGATTGGCCTCTGCTTTTCATCTTTGTCTAATCCCAATAAAGAGCTTGCGAGGCAGGCGGAGAGAACCGCCAGAGGTGGGGCAGGGGGAGGGCTGGAGGGGGCAAGGGAGCCGAGATGGGGAGGAGGCGGAGCAGGTGGGTGGGTGGCAGACACAGCGTGAGAGGCCAGAAGGCAGAGGCAGGGGGAGGGAACGGGGAGAGGTTCAGTTTGACTGGAGAGGAGGGGCTCTCGGCGGAGCAGTGGGTTACGGATCCCACTGGGTGGATTTTAAATGCCTGTCAGGTAGGGGTTCCGGTTGGCCCTGTCGTCATGACTTTCTCTTTTTAACTCGTGAGCTATAATACGTACACGGAAAAGTACAATCAGTGTTCTAAAACAAAGACCTGTGCGGCTCCCACTCAGAGAACGCTGCAGGCCCCCGCAGCCCCTGGTCCCCCTCCTCCCCCCACCAAGACACCCCTCTCTCCCACCCAGACTTTTAGGGCAATCGTGTCCCGGCATCTCTTTATAGTTTTGCCCTTCGGTATGTGTTCCTGAATGGTATAGACTGGACTTGCCTGGTGTTGAACTTTGTATGATCAGAACGATGCCGTCTGTTCTTCTGTGACGCTCCTTTCGCTCCGAGTGACGCTTTTTAAGATATATCTAGTTGACGGTGTGGCTGTGGTTTGTTTATTTTCATTGCCACAGAGCAGGGATCACAAGCAAAGGCCCCAGGGCTAAATCCAGCCCGCTGCCTTTTGGCCTGCGCGTCGTGAGTGGCCTTTCTGGTTTTTAATGGCTGGAAGAAAATCAGGAGAAGACCATGTCGTGACGCGTGAAGATTATACAATAGTCACATGCCAGTGTCCATAAGTAAAGTTTTATTGGAACAAACCACACTCATTCATTTGTAGATCGCCTGTGACCGCTGTCACCCTACGTCGGCAGCGTTGAGTAGTTGCGAGAGAGACCATCTGGCCCACGAGGTGTAAGATGTTTACTCTCTGGCCCTTTACGGAGCACGTCCGCCAGCCCCCGCTGTGGAGCGTCCCATTGGATGAACTCACCGCAAGTTAGTTATGATCCACACTTCACGCGCTTCCTGTCTGTGGCTGTGAACACTCATGTGTGGTCTCCGGCCCTTGTGTGTTCAGTGCGTCCAGGGGACACGTTCCCGTTAAGGCTGCTTCTTTCCAAGCGGACTGTGAGCTTCGGGGAGGCTGGAAAACGTGCGGACTTTCGTGGTTTGAATCCTCGATCCCCAGCTCGGTGCCTGGTCCTCGGGGGATGTGCCGGAGATACCACAGCAGGAAGGACTCAAGTCCTCAGCCACAGACAACCCCGGGAGGCGGTCCAAGAAGGCTGGGTGGAGACTTGATGCCTCCAGGAGAGGGAGCTGGGTCCAGGGGCAGGAGGTGGGCCCCGGGCTCCTCAGCGCAGGTAGAGGGACGAGACCCTGATGTCTTGGGAATAAGAGTGTGGATACTGGAGTTCCGGGTAAACGTGGGCCCTGAAACAGGATCTCACGCTTGTTGTGGATCTAGGGACCCTGGTGGGAGTGCAGGCCTGAGGCGCTGGGGTAGGGGGCCGAAAGCAGAGGAAGGGAAGGGGGTGACCTGAGCCTGGAGAGGGAGTAGGTGTGAAATTGGCAGGCGGAGCTCCTGAAACCCTGGTGAGGACAGTCTGGCCGGCCTGGGGTCCAGTCATGGAAGATGTGGCCAAGTCACCTGACCACGCTGAGCCCCCCACTTCCCCGGCAGGGCGCTCGGCACCCTCCCGTGCAGACCTCTTGCTGGGGTGACAGGAAGACACCTCCAGGACCACCGGTGGCCCTGGGACCTCCATCAGGGACCCCTCAGGAAGGGTCCGTGGGGCGGGGTGCCTGTAAGAGGTGGTATGGTGAACCTGATGTGTGTCTGCTCCCCTCAGGGCCGCACGGGGGCCGTGCGGAAGAAGGTGAGGTCAGAACCAGGTCTGTGCTTGCTGTCGGTGGCTCAGGGGAAGGGGACGCCAAGCCAGGCCAACCCACAGGCTGGTATCCCACAGCCGGCGGACGCCTCGCCTGCCGCTCTGCTCCTAGGGCCCAAGGCCTATTTCTGAAGGCCCCTCGGCAACTCAAAGCAAAACTTAAAAAGTTTAAAAGGGTACATGCTTGGACCAGAAAACCTTTATATACGAGGATGGTCGCTCACGGGTCCGTGGACCATGGCCGGAGACTAACTCACTGACATCGGCTGGCCCCTTGCTGTGGGGGGTTTGGACGAGACCCTCTCCCACCCCCTGGCCCTGAGCTGTCCTTTCCTCCGGCTCCTGCCTCCCACACCCACAACCCACTTTGGAGCCATGCTGGAGGACTGCCTGCCGCTACCCCTTTGCTCCTGCTCCCTTTTCCTGGGAGGGGTCCTCTCACTCCCCCACCTGGTGACTCCAACCTGTCAGCCAAGGTCGAACTGTGCTACCTTCTCTGTGGGGCCCATTGTGGCCCACTCAGCCAGGCCCCGACAAACCCAATGG